TGAAAAATGTAAAAATATAAAAATAACCAGTTAATTAAAAGGTGAATATAGTTTCTGTAAACAGATTTATACTCCCCAACATTATGATCAGTCAGAAAGGAGACCAAAAAGACAAAAAGATAAAAAACAGAAAATAAAGAAAAGATGTTTGCTTAGGAGATCATCAGCTCGAAAACCATATTTAAATAAAGAAAGACCTATTTGGAGATTTAATCCTAGAAGACAATATAGTAATAGATTATCTTATTTTACTTGTGGAAGTACTGCACATTTAGCTCAAGATTGTAAATTGAAGACAAAATATGCATAATAAGAAGCATTTCTAATAGAACGTGTGTAAATGAAGATGTTCTAGAAGTAGACAAATACATGGATGATATTGAATCTATTTATAGTATAGTTTCCATGGATGATAAGAATTTTTAGAAGAAGAAAACAACAATAGTGACGATGAGTTTACTAAAAATATTTTAGAATCTAACAGGAAAAATAAAAAAAATTATTATAGTACTCTTGAACAATTAGAAGGACTAGATGAAATATTAGAAAACCTTGTAGAAGCAAATTGTGAACACCAATGGTTACATAGAAGCACATATATATATGTATGTAGACAAAGAACTGTAAACTCAAAATAGTTAAAACTTAAAAGACTCAATGACACTGCTATTCTATTTTTAATACTTGCCTAAGTCATAACTGTCCACAACTTGTACTCTCACCAAAGTATGAAATTATACTTGTAAGAAATGTGTTGTATTTGTTCAATCTTATAGGTTTCACATTTTATTTTAGTCACTACTTATATACTCATCCCCATGAATACATTTACGAAAAAGTTGTGGCCTCTTGCTATATTGTAATAGGACATTTTTTAATCATCAAATCAAGACAATCCCTCTAACTCATAGTCCTATTAATATTTGTATTTGCCATCAGAAAATCTTAGATATTACAAGTCCATGTATGTGAGGTGTAGAAGTTACTTAGGCAACGATAAATTGATCATGAACTTAATGAAAGGGAAAATGAGATGTGATGGGATTGGGGATCTTGTATCACTATATGTGTACAAATAGTTAGAATATGTAGTAGAAGTTTAGTGGAACTCTGAAGGCTTTTAGGGGGCGCTTGGTTCAAGCCTAGAAATCAGAATTTTAATTGAAATCACGTCCAAAATTCAGTATGGGGTTTGATCAAGGGTATAACTACAATGACTAGTGTTTGGTATATATATATATATATAAGGTTTTGGAATCAACTTATTTTTCATTTTCTTATCTTTATTTTTTTCTTCTTTCTCTTTTCCTACTTCCTTCTTCCCAGCCCTTAAGTATTCTTGCCTCACCAATTTCTCTTGAACCACCACCTGACCACCACCAATCAACCTTGCAATCTGTGGAGCATGGGAGAGCGACTGACAAGGGATGAGAGAAAGGCTTACACGAAAAGAAAAAAAAAAAAAACAGAGGAGAGAGAACTAGATGGAGAGGAGCGGCTATTATAGAGTATTGGAGGAAAGAGGAAGAGAGTGAAGAGAGAAGAAAAGGGAAAGTAAGAGAGATTGACAAGAAAGGAGAGAACCAGATGGGGTGGGGTTGCTGCCATGGAGGGTTGGAGGAGAAAGTGAAGAGAGAGAAAGAGAGAAAAGGATGATAATGAAATCCTGCTTTGGAAGATGGGATGATAGAGAAAGGATGAAAGAGGAAATCTGATGCTAAGGTGCTGCAATGGAGGTTGGGCCGATGTGATAGAGTGATGAAGATGATATGTTTTCTTTTCTTTTTTGAAGTCTTTGAGTCAAATTGAGACAAATTTGAGAATCCACCAAAACCGCCCAATTTGTTGGGGATTGAGAATCCCCAAATTTTAATGATTCACTCCAAGATTCTGAATCCAATAGATGTACCCCAAACAGCAAGAATTGGAATTATTTCAATTCCTGATTCCGATCCCCTTTTACCAAACGACACCTTGATCTTGACATATATGTTGGGAATTTTTATGGTAAAGGGAAAGTGTGTATTATATTTGAGAGATTTTGTTATTGCTATAAATTTCAGGAACTACATTGCTTAAGTTTCGAGGATGAAACTTTTGTAAGGGAGAATGTGATACCCAAGTAATTTCTATAGGGGTTTTGGTATGAATTATGAAACTTTAGGATGAAAATTTAGAGTGCTGAGAAATTAAAGGATTGTTGTGCAATTTTTATTTGTTAGTGGAAGATGATATTTCTTCTTTTGTTCTCTTTCTTTTCTTCCTATAACCAAATGGCTTCTTGTTCTTCTTGTTCTTTTCGTCTTCAAATTCCTATAGAGTTTAAGTATTCCAATACAAATGCAATATAGAAGCTAGTGTATGCTTCTTTATCTATTAGCAAAGGTAAGTTAGTTATATTTTAGTTTATTTATGGTTTAATTTGGATTGGTTAATGGGCTGATGAATTGAGTTGTGGGTATGGCTGACTTTTGGTTGGTTTTCTTGGATCTTTTGTTAGACTTTAGTTTTGAGATGTTTTAATTCATGATTTGGTTGGGGATGGAGTGTTTGCTTAGAATGATATTTAAGAGAGTTTTTGGGTGTTTTAAGAGATGGAAAATCTTAGTAGAAATTGAATTATTTGAGTTCACTACCTGATTTCTAAGTTTATTTATGCAATAATATGATTGTGGGATACAAAATTATGTATTTTTATGACTATGGAAGCTTGGAGATGATTTAGGGTGAAAATAAAACTTGAGAACCGAACATGGAAGCCAATTCTGCATCGAATCTGCCCCTGAATCCACGGCTGGATTCATCCAAGATGCTGAGCTGGATTCAGTTCGTAGCACTGTTGCATTTTAGTAAATTAGCTTAAGATGTAGAAAACTTGAAATTGAGTGCTGTTTGCAGTGTTGGAAACTAAACACAGAGAGTGTCAAGTTTTTATAAAGATCTCACCCTAGTTCTATACTCACAAGAATTGGTGAACTTCTAAATTTGACCTTTGTATTCCACTGAAGTGAGAGGATGATGTTTACTATAGGTTATTACTTAGGACTAGTGTTTGGTGTCTATATTATGATGAATTAGCATTATTAAGACTCCTCAGAGTTTGAATTAAGTATGTTTGCAATGTTTAGGCGGGGAATAGTTTCTATTGGGAATTGGGATGGAGTTGAGTTGGATGCTAGCTTGTTTGATAGAGGTAAGTGCTGCATGTACTCTTTTATCTTTTGAAAATGTAATTATCAAACTGTTATGACTTCAAAAGGTATTTTGTATATTGAAATGGCATGAGTATGTGTACATATTATTGATTTACTATACATGCATAATTTGGATCAGAAGTGAATGATTGAATGATTTATTTGATTAACCTCTTGTATAAGGTGACTTTTGATGGGATTAATTCCTCATATGGTATTTGGTATTATGATATTATGAAATGGGCAAACAGTGTGATAGTTAGCACCATAAATCATGTTAATTGGTCAACTTAAAAGCAGGATATATATGGTCAACGATTAACCTTATATTTTGAGCTCATTTATGGTTATGAACATTGTGATATATGCTTTGTATTTGAAATGCGTATGATGACCACATTTTTGTAAATTTATATGTATGTATCAAAGAAAGTTTCAAATGCATTCTATATTTATACTAACATACTCAGTCCAAAAAAAAAAAAGTGTTATTGAGCAAATTATTGCTCACCTCATTTATTAACATTTATTAATATTTTACGGAGATGTTAACCATTGAAGAGGTTTAAAACAAGGATTAAGGCGTCTAGAACTTGATCTTAAAGGGCTAAGTGGTTCTGATACCTCAGAGGAGAAGGTTGGTTAAGTTGTAACTGATATACGTGAAATGAAGATTGTGGCTGTTAATGGGGGTATAACTGGATCTGTATAAGGCGTGGCTATCACCAATTATACTTGCAGTGTGCTTAATGTGAAGCTCTTTATGATAGCTAACAGAATGGAGTGTTGGAGCATTTCTAACAGCTCTGAGGAGCAATTATTACTGATGGTACGATAAGTGTTTGATGCTGGAACTGTGAGGAGGACTTATCACTGGATCTTGAGTAGCCTGATAGCAGATAATGCTCAGAGAGAGTGCAAGAATTTAAGCTGGACTAAACATTTATTGACTAAAATTCTCGATCGATTTTCTAGATAGTGCGTTATCAGTACACTATGAGGTCAAAGTGTCAATAGTTAGCCCCTGAATTATATATTTACATGAAATTCCTGAATAGTTTACTTTAAATGTACATTTATAGGAGGTGGAGCACATTTCACTGGATGCTTTGGAGCATGGCCTCCTTAATTCTCCGTGGGAATTATTAGTTCAACTGTTTAAGACAGTTCAGCCCCTCATCCATCTGGCTACTGCATACCATAAATTTGACAACCAAGGGGAGACAAAATAACTAGCATCTTGCTGCTGAACTTGGTATATCCTTGGATTCATTGCCAATGGAACCAAACTCCATAGTCTGCTTAGGTAGAAAAGGCAAACACCTCTTGCTTCTCAAATCAGTATGCTAGTAAACATATTGGCAGGTGAACTTGGTATATCCTTGGATTCATTGCCAAGGGGAGACAAAATAACTAGCATCTTGCTGCTGAACTTGGTATATCCTTGGATTCATTGCCAATGGAACCAAACTCCGTAGTCTGCTTAGGTAGAAAAGGCAAACACCTCTTGCTTCTCAAATCAGTATGCTAGTAACATATTGGCAGGTGACCGGAAAAAGGGCTCTTTGAGCGGTAAAACCAAATACTTATCTCTGAAATAACATGGTTCCTTTCCAATATTTGTTCATCTTGGGACTTGTGTGGACCATATGCATATAGAGCAGGTAATTTTCTCTATCTGGCCATATCTAGGACCATGTGTTTTTTGGAGCCATGCTTGACAATATTTGTGGTATATGCTGCATTGCATACTATTTCAGTTTAGCAAAATGCGAAAAGTTCAAACCATTTGTTTTCAACTTTCAGGAAATCCAGATTGATGAACTCATTACGCATGATCTTCCATTTGAAGATGTAAACAAAGCTTTTGATCTGATGAGGGAAGGAAATTGCTTGCGTTGTGTCATCCACATGCCCAAGTAGATTTCATTCGTGATGAATTTGACAATACAAAGCAACTTCCCCAATATGGCACCAGGATTTCACAGGATAGGTTAAAAAAAAACCTACTTCTTGAGAGGTATTTCCTGCTCCTGTTGGATTTGCACTGGGCCAACTTGGTATAGTATTAAGATGGTGATTAAAATTGAGCTGTTGGATTTTTACTCTGGTAAATTTTATCAATTTTTGGCCCCATTTGGGAAGGAGGGGGGGGGGGTATCTCATTTAGTGAAAATTTATCCTATTCGAGTCACTTACCAATTCAGTGTATAATTTGTTTATCAAATAAGGTAGCTTGTTTGATTTCTTACTTGTAATCTGAAGAAAACCATCTCATACTTTCTGAAGATTTCCTATTTTCAGTGCATATATAAATGTTTGTGCTTGTGTATGACTAGTATAATTGTTCATCCATTTTAAATAAGTTACTTACACATTGCCCCCTTGAACGTTGAAGTTTGAACGTATACTTTTTCCCCTACGTCCATTAGTCAAAGGTCAGTGATTGGCTTTCTCTCCTGAGTATCGATAACATGACATTTATGTGCATGGTAATGGTTGTAATCGATAATGCTACACTATAAGCAAAAAAGATGGAGCGGCTTATTGGGAAATGAAACGAAAAAAACAAATAATACTTAGCTCACGTGGTATTAAAAAAAAAAAGAAAATAGAATAAAAGATGGCAGTGGTTGAAGTAGAGTATTCAACATTTAGAGATCTTGGGTTCTAATCTCCTCTTTTTCTTTTTTATTGTTTAAATCTTATCCCTCCCTGACGAGAAAAAAATTGAAAACGATGGTAGAAATACCAAAGAGCTGGTAAATAGTGTAGTTGAGGAAAATATTGGAAACCATTCCCAAAACTTATAACAGTTTTGCGCCTCTTATCTTTCTCACTTTTTAAGTTATCAACCAATTGGCCTTCATAATTTTGCTTACCTTCCATTTTGCTGTGAATTCTAAAGAGCCCATTGGACGTGAATTTTTGTTTTCATACCACATGCATGCCTTGCTAAAATAGTTTTATTTCAAGCACTGCGATGAGCATTCCAATGACCATTTGAGTCTCAGAATTTTGTGCATCTTTTCGAAAGCTTCTATTGCCCAAAATTGACTGTAGCCAGATGTTTAGTGCAGCTATATTCAATTGAACTTAGCAACTGTTAAAAAATTTGGTCGTTTATTAAGTTCCAATTGCTATATATGTTCAGAAATTAGAAATACTTATTTTGGTCGTTCAAAACATAATTTCAATTTGATCCGTTAAAAAGGTTAATAACAGGATAAAGTCTATGTATATGAAATTTAAAGAGACAAAGTATTACTAAAAAAGGCAAAGTCAATTGACCCATATATAAAAATACAACCCAAAATCCAACATGGTGTTAGTTTGCACAACTATTCCAGAAGTCCCTTTAATAATGATTTTGCTTGATTGTTTGATCAGCTATAGTATGGAAATTTTCATTTCGGCTTTAATCTTAGTTAGTTCTTCACTTTCACATTGGAAGAGAAAGTACCTTATACTGTACCCTCCCAAGTTTTTATTTAACATATATCACCTAATTGCAAAAAACTCATGTTTACTATCATCTTTTTTTTCAATATTCTTTAGTTACTGTACAATATCTCCTGTACTTTAACTCCAAGGATTACAAAATGCCTTGAATTTTGGATTCATAATTTACATCTTCGTCAATTATTTCCAATTGCTGAACTGAATTACTTTCCTAATAAAATTTTTTCTTGATTTTCCTTTTCAATGTAATACTTTATTTTTTTCTTATATTGACATTTGTTTGAAATTTTGTATTTCTATCATGCACATTTTACCTAATTCGACAGTTTGATCAGAAGCAAGATTTACGGTGACCTCAAGTGTAAAACCCAAAGGAGCACAAGACAACATGAACATCTTAAGCACATTAACCCACAATTTACATGTCCATACTAGTAATTATTGTCTATAAAAGAGAAACTTCAAGTATTAAGGCCCATATACTGATAGATCACAATAATAATATACTTAACGAATCCGATAAAAATTGGCATTGTTTAATGCTAACTCAGAAAACTAAGATAAAAGTTAGCTAGAGTTAATCGAAAATTTTGATGATACGATTCTCGATATGCCAATACGCTAAGACGAATCAAGAACGTGAATCACAAATCCTGGATCTAGATTAAGGATCAACGTTTGGGGATGGATATTTTTGATCGATCTTGGACCGTTCAAAAAAGATCAAAACGATAGAACAACTGTGAGGACTCGAAAATTTTCTTATTTTTATCTTATTTTACTGCCTTATTTAAATATTTATTCACCCGTTTTTTCGGAATAATTTATTTCAACCATTTTAAATCTATTTACATGCAACAATGCCTTACTTATATTTTTAAAACGTCCTGTTAACAAATTTAATTTTCAGAAGCTCATTTAGTAAGAAATAGCGAATACACGTATTTCGAGGCAATATTCGATCCGAGAGTGCAATGATCTTCAAGATTTGAGGACTTATGTTTTATTTCTTAAAATAGTCATTTTATAAGTTATTTAACCTAGTATTAATTAATTATATTATTGTTACAAGAATTTCTTTTAAATTTCGCTTTATTGCGCGCGAATCCGAAGTTCGCGTAAATCGAGCCGGAACGGCTAAGTAGAGATTTAAGAAATTAATACTAGATTACTAGGAGTGAGTAATTAAAAGTGTTAGGGAATTACATTGGAAGATTAGTACACAAGTGAAACAAACCCGAGAGAAATCGGTGATATGAACCCCGCGCGTGACACTATTCCTAGTTGACTTTGGCTAGCTTTTCATTCCATTTTCCCTCCAATCTTCTCCAAGAAGCTTCACACAACAAAAACACTCTCTTTCCTCACCTCTTGGTCGGCCGAACAGCAAAGGAGAAGAAGGAAAGAAAAACTCTTCTTGTCTTGCTCAAATCTTGCACCAAAAATCTCAACCAATCTTCTAGCTACTTGGAGGTTAACTCTAGATTGGTGAAAGACTTCATTTTGTGGAATTTCTTAGAGCTTTTGGTGGTGGAAATTTCTGATCTCATCTACGTCTAAGGAGGTAACTTCCATCTCCTTTAGATCTTTCCATTTAATCAAAGTTTGGTAGTGGATTTGCAAGGGTTTACTACCCTAAGCAAGAAATAGGTAGAGGACTTGAGGAAATTTATTTTTCTTACTTTTATTGTTAGGCTAGCGGACTTGGTGTGACCTCTAGGCAGCTGCCTTGAGGATTAAATGCTTTTTTAATATTGTTTATGTGTTGAATGAGAGGAATTACGGTTAGAAATGGAGAGAAAGTTGAGAAATGAGAGGAACTAGAATTGGCCGAATCAGTCCAGTGCTTTTTGTACCTGCCTTTCAAATTTTTGTGGGTTGTTTTTCTGTGAAATTGGTTGATATATGTTGTATATGGTGTGTAGAAAGTTTCTACCAAAAATCATTTGAATTGGTTGAGCGAAACTTGAAATTTCGAAATTTGAAGAAAACTGGAAAATGTGTTCAGACTCTGAACAGTGCCCCTTTGATCGAACATAACTCTTTGTACAAAAGTCGAAATCGAGTGCCGTTTGTGGCATTTGAAACTAGACATCCGTAGCTTTCTAACAGTATAAAAATCACTTGCTAGTTCAATCTGAGTGAAGTGCAATGAATTGATAAAATCTGCTGTTCTGTTCTGCTCTGTTTGCATGTTCCATTCGAATGGACATGAGAAGCTGCAACTTGTGGCTTGAATTTGAACTACCTGTGAACTGATTTTGGAAATATTTTCTTCTGATGAAATATTTTGAACATAGTTTCCAACGCCACCAACTATTCTCAATTTCAAGTTGTATTGAGTGAGCTATGGTTCAATTTACAAACTGTGCCAAAGCTGGAAATCTGGAAAACCCTTTCTTCTTACTAGCCGACTGGTTAGGTTTGATTTGGGACGTTTTGTTTCGAAAATCTTGATGTCCATTGCTTGTCAAATGCTTATTAAGTGTTCTTAGAACCTTGGTTTAAAAAATGGACAGAATTGGAGTTGATTTCATTGGGCAAAATGTTTGAAAAAGGAAAAGAAAGCAAGAAGAAAGATTTGCTTTAAGAATTTTCTAAACTTTGGTAGTTTTGTTAACTACCTTCCCGTACGATTTTTTAAGTGAAATTTGAAGGAGGAGTAGTCCTCATATGGAAGTTGAATTGTACCAAATTTGGTGTTATTCTAAGACCATTTAGATACCCAAATGATGTCCCAAAGTTTACTTTTAAAATCTGGAAATTCACCGTTTAGTAGTGAAAATTTACCGACTTTGAACTACAATATCTTGATAGTCATGAATCCAAATTTAGTTTTTCTTGTTGTGTTTGAAACTTTGTATGGAACTCTTATTGTGTTACAAATTTCAAAGGCTAGTTCACTTTTTGTGAATTTTGTCGAATTTTCAAAGTTTGCCGAAAAACAAGACTGAAACTGCCTTGCTTGTTCAGATCAGCCACTTTGAGCTGAAATTTGAATGTCTTCCGTTTAGAATCTTAGAAAATTGTCTTATACTCTGAACCAAGATTCCAATGGTACAAAGTTTTTCAATTTTGGACCTATTGAGTGAAAGATCTGAAATTTCAAAGATTGTCACTTAAAACTGAATTTTACCGACTTGTTGGGAAATGAGTTTTTGGAAACTCTTCCCTATCCATTGATATTGATTGACCGTTTTAAACTTGATTTCATGGAGGAAATCAGTTTTTCTTATGTTATTAAATCCTACTTTTGAGTCTCGATTTTTGAGTAATTAAGGCTCTCTTTCATGACATTTTCTTAGTATTGTACAAGTGTACAATCTTCCTTGTTAGCAAGGGGTTTGTAAGTAATAGTGTGTGATAGTCAATTATTATTTACTCAGACTCTCAAGGGGACCTTCAAGAGGATCTCGAAGTGGATGCCTAAAAACTTGTTTGAGCACTTACTTCCTCATTTTGATTGGTGAGTGTTGAGTGCATGAATTTGTTGCTAAGTGCCTGATTTGCTTCTTATCCGTTATGTGAATTTGGAATTTTAGAGTCCCACATCCAATATATATCCGTAATTTTTCAAAAACTACCCAATGCTAGAAAAATCATCTAAAAACTATACTTACTCATAAAATCCACCAAGAAAATTTTCCTACGCCAGAAAATGCAGCAAACATGCAATTAAAGGGGGAAAACCCTAGGAAAAACATTAAGGGAAAAAATACGGGTTCTCACATCTTTTGTATTTGAATTTTTGGTAACATGTAATGAATGCTTTGAACTCCTTGTTGCCTATGTGTTCGGAACCTCACTGAGCTTTTAGCTCACCCCTTTAGTTTTGTTTTCCTTAGC